TCTAGAATATTGTTCCCAAAACATTGCACTTGTAATAGTTGAGGATGTAATAGCCTAATTTCGTTTGTGATTCCAACAGTTCTTCTTCTATGTTTAGTTTTTACTCTTGTAGCTTCGAGATCACGCTCTTTGTTATTTTTGTTTCCCATAGAGTAACTCGGCTTCTTTCCGTTTTATACTTTCTGACCTGTGCAAAAAGTGCTATTTCAGATAGTTACTTCGAAATCTGTTGTCTGTGCACCTGTGAATGTGACTGCCTTCCTTTTCTGTGTGTTATCAGCTCCAGTTCCAAGTGAATATGTATAAACTTGTGCGAAAGATACTACGATTAAATATTCTGCAAGTAGAGCAATATCGTTCCGCTTCAGCGTGGTTAAATAGAGCACGGTATGTTTATAGCTTCTTTTCTCTGTTTGAAAGTTTTTTGTGGTCATTCGTTGATTTGTTTCAGGGCCGATCCTGAGTCGGCTAAAACGGTCGATGCAGAAAAACTGTTTATTAATCCTGACGTTCAGCGACTTCTCACGGAGTTGACTGGTATGGACCTTGAGAAAAAGGTACCTTGAACCTTTATGATCCGTTTAACCCATCTATGTCAAGCCTTTTGCATTTCAGGTGTTTAAAACAAGACGGTTAGCAATTCAGCAACGATCCCATTATGCTTTGATGACGGAGGAAAGGCTCGACCAGGTCAGCAATTTTTTTCTGTTCTGCGTTTTTTATACGCTACAGGAACCCCGCAAGAGTTTGGGCAAACGAAAGTAGGGAAATCTACCAGGTTCAAGAGAAGTCTGACAACAGCCTTGGCCTAAAGGCATGATGACCGTCGTCATGTCATGGCGTGCTCGGCTCGTTCTGGAAATTCTCGTAGCGCTTGTGCCTTTGGTCCTTTGACTTCTCATAGAATCAAAACCTGTGAAACACCAGCACCGTAATAGCCGGCGCTCTTCATGATAAAAACACGAGCTACGAAGCTCGTTCCTTCCACCACGGAAATGCTACGAACGTCGTACCGGCGTATCACCGGATCCTTCATATCGAGTCGGTTGTCGTTTTTCATTATTCGTATTTTGTTTCCAGACGATGGAGAAAATGCGTGAAGAAGCGCAACGATTTTTGAGTTTTGTCCCGTTGAAAGAACCGCGATCTGAAGAGGTACCCTCATTTTACAGCATCGTCAAAGCAATATACTGTTGTCTAGTTGCATTCGTTCCTTCAGGTGACTATCCTCTCGAAAGATCCTGAAATCGAAGGCTTTGATAAATCCAAGTTCGTATTCACCGATATCACATTCGATGCTACTGACCAGGTAATAAGAAACAGATTTGTTTTCATTTCTCTCGCGCTCACTAGACGTTAGAGCAAACGAAAAACTGCTGACTGTGCAGTAGGTCATTTTCTGGCCCTAGTCAAAAGCGGGTCAGTCCTTCTTATTCCCTTAGGCATGGGTAAAAACCTGCATCCTTCGAGCAATAAATGCTCCAATCCCAAAGCGAAAAAATGGGCTGGAAAGTGTATATGCCGTAAGACGCCATTTCCTTGTCATCGAGCTATCATGAGACGGCATGTGACGTCGTGGCATGTCCTAAAATGAAGCGCCAATGTTGAAATGTTAGGCTGTGGGTCAACACAGACTAGCGCCATCGTTTTCATTGCACCATTAGTTTTCGAACGCTCCACGTACGTTCGAATCAACCTTCGAATCTTGAGATCCCTCGTTAGTAGAAGGCGGAAGAAACCTCTCTGAAGACCTTGAATGTAGTGGTAGAGGTGGCATATGGGGGCGTCAGAAGTTGGAATTCTTAGAATGACTTCCTCTTGACTTTCCACGTATGGGCTTCTTGTCTTTGATAGGAGACATTAAAGCATAGCTACAGAGTCTGTAATGATTGCAGGACCGTACTGTCGTAGTACGCGAAGTGGACGGCACATTACGTACTGCTACAACGGAGGAACACGATCGAATGAATCGAACGTATTATGAAAAACCAAATCGACCAGTGTTCCCTCCGCCCGTCTTTGAGGACCCATATCTTCAGGTGATTCAGATCATAATTGCACGTCAGACCTCTAAAATGCTTTTTCGTAGAACGCTCTCGATAGGAAGGAACATGAGTTCGTGCTCGATTGGGCTTGCTGGTTTTATGAGCCTGATGATCCGGCTTATATCAGCGTAAGTCTCCTTCAAGAGCTGTCGCGACAGATTACTTTGAGGATACATTTTTTTAGCTTATTCTGCGCGTATTTGATCGTGTAGTGGAAGCAGGCGATTTTGAAGTCTTACACTCAACACGACACTTTGGAACTCTAGTATTTTATCTTGCTTTAAACGGGAACATTCCACCATTGTTGAATTATTTTGGTGCACGAGGCAGGTGAGTATATGCAGCTGCGCCCTTTGATGCCCTCAGATATGGGGTGAATGCGCTTACCATTCTGATGAGCCCTTCCTCTTACTATCACCTAGTACCTCGGGAACACCCTATTTTCTGAGGTATAAGGCGCACCATCGCTTTGAACTCCGCTGATGTTTCTTCTCCTTCAATGTGGCGTGTTTTTCTGTTTTATCTTTTCTATTGTCATGTGTATTCAATCAGAGCAAATAGAAAATCAGTGAGAAGAGTAAATTGTGTAAAAAAAAAGGACTGGGGAACTGTTGCTGGTTCCGCCAACTGTGCGACTCTATGAAGTGCGCCTTATACTCCAGAAAATAGAGTGCTTGTAACTCCAGCGGTTCTGCGGGAGTTCTGGAAGTATATTTGTTCGAGGTAGTCCTATTCGCCTCGTTATGTTTTGTTCATGTTGCCGCCACAAACGGACCTACACGGAACTTTATTCGTTCTGTTCTGTTCTGTTGCGTACAGCAGTTTTCTTTTCGTACCTTTTTTCTTTTGCAACTTTGTGATCTAGTCGTAGGTTAGCCATTATATCGAGCGGTTTTGCAATAGTCTCATTCTGTGTTATAGGCTTCAGGACTGTGCCAAACTGGTCCGATTACAGAAGATCTTGCACCCTGATTGGCGAACCGCTATTAATAGTTCTGATTCTGATCTGAAGATTGTCACAGATTTCGTAAAAGAGGTAATTTCTACGCATAATTCCGCAAATGAGCTTTTCAGCATTCACTCAACGCTGAAAGGTTGTACTTCTTCCACGTAAACTTTGCCACTGGTGGTAGGAAACTCCAACCGGATCGGGCTAAATCCTCGCCTCCTAACCCCGCTCCAACTGATTCCGCTAATATTAACTAATTCCCTGAGAATTGTCCGTTCCAGAACAGCAGATACCGCGATCAGCTGAAAGATCTCAACGCGTTCCTCAAGGATGGTACCGTCATTCCTTCTACATCACAAAATGACGAACAAGTGAAAAAGCACCAATTTATGCCAAAGGTATTGCACTTGTTGAGTACTGAACTTGAGTAGCAACTGAACCTGGAATTTCCACCAGACTACTGTGGATGCTAGCAATGTTCGAGGTACTGGCGGTCCGTTGGGTGAACTCAGCCAAGAGTACGAGGTGCAGGTATGACATGTAGAACTCTTATCTTAAGACTCATTTTTACAAAATAAGCATTGTTTTTCGCCATCCCAAATGCAGGCTGTGGGCAAAAGGTGAGATTCCAGGCAGGGCGTGAACGTCCACCTCACGCTTATCGGACTAGTGTGGTAGCCACGGCATGGAAACTATAAACAAAGTGAAAGACTGCCTTGATGACGTAATCGTTAGCAAACTAGTCCAGTAAGATGTGCAGGTTGGAGCCTCTCCCGGGGTCGCTCTTCTCACATTGGACATTTCACATGCCCCGAAGATAGAGAGGGCGTGGATACATGCCCCATCTGAACGTGACGTCGACCGCGTCTTATGGGATATTGCCGTGCTAGTGAGTAATTTTATTCTATGTAAAAAGCGTATTAATGTCGTGAAATTCTTCGCAATATGAAGAGGCGTGGCTGCATGCTCCATTTGAACGTGACGTCGACAGCGTTTTATGGGATACTGCGGCATTGATAAAAGTGTATTCATGCAGTTGTCCAGAGCAGGATAAGATGACACTTGTCTCACAACTCACAACAAACGTGTCCCACGTCATGTTCAAGTGAAGTAAGCGGTCACGCCCTCTCTGTCTTCCGGGTATGAAGTGTGCTTCACTGCAAATTGGATAGTTTCGCTGCGAGCGCAATTTCTCTGCAATGTTTCAGTTGGTGAAATCGGAAGGAGAAGAAGAAGCAGAGAAAGGAAACAAGACAGAGGATCGAAAGGAGCGTCGTGGTCGTTTCAGGCGGCAACAATCCAAGCCTAACAACCCAAAATCTGATGGATGAATGTTTATACCATTTTTAATGTTTTTATAGGTTGTTATGGGATGTTATAGTTAAAAAGCATAGTTGCTCAAAATATTCGTGAATCATTGTTTCTTGTTCTGTTATAAATTTGAAAGCCTATTTTGTTTTTTACGTTTATCGGCGTCCATTCGCCTTGTACATAATATTCTCTAAATTATCAAATTTTTGCTCTTATTCGTATACAGTCTTATTCGCTGCGAATGAAGGGCGTGGTCAGATAAGATGAGTTTGGCTTAGGGTCAAATCCTTTTACCCACCAGTTGTTGAAACGGGTTGGCGACATTTGTGGGAGTAAGTCTAATATGACTCGTCGCTTGCTCGGTTCAACAGCTGGTGAAAAACGGGTCTGGCGCCGCGCCATACCCCTCCCGGCGCCAAATCTCTCCCCCTGTCAGTCCCCGACATCTGCGGCGAATAAGACTGTAGTTGCCTAGTAATGTACTCAAAATTAGGTGCAGGCATGCCGCGAAAGAACATGTCGATGATCCGGCGGACATCAAATCGTGGTGATAAACCTCAACCATCTGAACAAGCGCCACTTGGTGGGACGACACCCCACGCTTCACCTTCATCTTCATCACAATCGTAAGTAAACTTCAATATATTGGACTCGTTGATCATAGCTATTTGAATTTTGTTATAGCAGTTGCTGTTTACGCCACGCTCCAAAAGTTATCCTAAGAATGCTCACTTATGTTCAAAACTCGGGCCTAACTCTAACCTTCACATCACCCTTTCCGGGCGAGTGCGCAGTTCTACGCCACCAATGGCGGACCTTCCCCTTCACTTCCCCTCCACACAGGGTACATCATCATTGTGTGAACACATAGCCGGGTCGCACTTTTCGGTTGGGGAGGGGGTCGTATTTAGTCGTTGTTGGGAGGGGTCGTATGTGGCTTTGACAGAAATTTGCCGCGTTGGGAAAAAATTTTTCCCGGTTGTTGACTTTTCGCGTGATTTTTCCTGTTTCATGTGTACTATTTACCCCCCCCCTTAGCAAGTTTTTTTTCGGAAAAGAAAAGTAGGAAATTCTTGGCGCAATTCGGAAATTGCGCTAAAGAAGTTGGGAATCTGAAGAAATTTCCCCGCTTCCATTGGCTCCCCCCCCCCCTCAGCCTTTGACGAAAATTTGTGAGTGAATGAGTGGGGAAATTTGTAAGCTAGCATGCTGGGGAGGGGGAGGGGCGGGTCATACCAGACCTACCTGAGATAGGGGTCGTTCTGCACCAACCATTTCACACATGCACGATGTCGTACCTTGCCTCCACAGCACTAACTACGCTCGACGTGGGTGAGGTAGTTGTTTATAGGGTAGCTGTGAAAACTTCTGTACTGTTTGATCTTGCATTCCATCATTCTGTGTCTTACTGTCACCAACGTCAATTTTTCGAGCGATACCCTAACAGAGTGGGGCACACGGTGCACTGCAGGAAAATGGTAAAACTGAGCTGTTGTTCAGCTTCCGTAAACGTGCGAACCGGAAAATTAGGCTATCTCTGAACCATTTAAAATGTTGAAGAACCTGGAAATAATGTGAGCCACTAATGTGACTGGCTCATCTGTGTGAAAGCCTGGGAAGAACTATCACGTGCGCTTCACCAGTTGATAGTAGTCCCATACTCATAATTCGGCGCTGTTCGGCTGGGGGAGGGGGGTGGTTTTGCATTTTGCTATCCTTCATCGTTCCAGTCGAATTGCAAGTCTCAACGAGTCTTGTCAAATGTGAGCGAAGAGCATACTATTCCATAGTTTTGTAGGATTGTACAGGTCTCCTTAGAAGGCATCGGCGGTGACTGATTGGGACTGGGCAAATGCCTACACCAGGCCGAACTGCTCCCATCATTTTGGGTAGGAGACAGGGTAGAGGCTATTATGTCGCGACAGGAACCCATTGTCAACAAGCGATGTGGGAGAATGCCAACAGGCAGGATTGCTGTAGATGTGTAGTGACGCTTTTCCCTCGCATGGTGTATCAGCATTACTCCATTGAATTCCTTAGTATTTGTTACAATAGTAGTGAATCATAGTAAATCAGTAGTGAGTCTTTGTAGTCCGAACGACATCAGTCACTCCAATCAAATATCGTCGAATGAGATCCGCGGAAAGCTGTTCGTCTCACGCGAAGACTTTGGACTTTGATTGGCAACCGAGCGGGAACGCAGTGCTTAAGGTGGGTACCTGTGTACAGTCTTGTTCACTGCAGATGAAGGGGTGTGTTAGCGACGAAGGCTTTGGCGCGCCACCAGCCCGTTCTCCTTTCGTTGTCGAAGTGGGCGACCGACAACAAATGGAACACTGATAATTATGATCGAATGATGTAATACAGTCTTGTCGCTTGCCGAAAGAAGAGAGGATTGGGCTAGCACGCGCCAAACCTAT